TTGGGTGTTGCCTCTTTTTCTTTCTTTTTTTCAAACCCCAACAATCGGACATAACATGACTAGTTTTTTACAGAAATGGCAGACAGGCCTTGATGGTTTTGATGAAGTTTTAGCCTGACTGTATGAAGATTTCGAACTAGAGGAGCTGGATTTTTTAGAAGAATCCTCAACCTCGGTGGATCGAACAGATACAGGTTTTTGTTGAAATGGTAGGAATTTCTTTTTATGAAAAATGGTCTTATGTGTTAAATTTTGTAAAGCTTGTCATACCTGTCAGTTGGTCGGAAAATCTAACCAGAGAAAGAAAAAGAACAGAAAGAAAGACAGAAAGAAAAAAGGACAGACAGAAAGAAAGAAAGAGAGAGAGAGAGAAAGACAAAGACAGAAAAAAAGAAAGAAAGGCAAAGACAGAAAAAGAAACAAAGAAAATTTGTGTTTGTTTTTAGAATTTCGCGCAAAGCTACACGAGGGCTATCTGTGCTAGTCGTCCCTAATTAGGTAGTGTAAGACTAGAGGGAAGGCAGCTAGTCATCACCATCCACCGCCAACTCTTGGGCTACTCCTTTACCAACGAATAGTGGGATTGACCGTCACATTATAACGCCCCTACGGCTGAAAGGGCGAACATGTTTGGGAGTACGGGGATTCGAACCCGCGACCCTCAGATTGCGAGTCGAGCGCCTTATCCACCTGGCCAGAGGCAAAGAAAAAAAAGAGACAGAAAAAGAAACAAAGAGACAGAACGAGAAAGATAAAAAGACAGAAAGAGGCAAGAAAAGAAAGAGACAGAAAGAGAGAGACAAAGAAAGAAAAAGAAGAAAGGAAAAAGAAAGAAAGAAAAGAAAACAAAGGATAAGGCTGTTAAATTGCAATTTATCGTTACGAGAATATGGTTTGAAAATTATCCATATAATAAGGGCTTATAACATTTGTGCCGATGTATTTTCATGTACTATATAATTTTACGGTAAAGTGATTTGTACTGGTTGTAGTCAAAAATGTAATTATTATTGAAGTTGTATAATCCTTTAAATAATGTATTATATACAAAGTAATCTTGCCAATGTATATGTATATATATATATATATAATGTCTTAATTAAAAATTGTTAAAGCCAATTTTTAATTCTCCAAGGAGGGAGTTGTAATGAATTTGTTGTTATATATTTATTTTAA